AGCGCCGTCGCACGCCGAGCCGTCGATCGGAGGCGGGCTCCCTCAGCGCCCGGCTCGCCGCCTCTCGAGGGGGTCGGCTCTAGGGGGCGCCCTGAGCGCCGAAGGGCTCCTGAGACGACCTCCGGGGCGCGGCTTGTTCTCCCGCGATTTCCCAGCTCCCGCTTTACCCCGTCAGCCCCGGCGAACGCTGCTGACCGACACTCCTCCTCTCCCCCCAACCCCACTCCCGTGGGGTTCCCGCCGCCGCCATGAGGCTGCGGGTGAGGCTTCAGAAGCGGACCGGGCCGCTGGAGGTGCCCGAGGCCGAGCCGACGCTGGGCCAGCTGCGCGCGCACCTGAGTCGGGCCCTGCTGCCCACCTGGGGGTACAGGTAGGTGGGGCGTTTCCGGAAGGGGCGAAGGGCGGCGGGGGGGGGGAGGGAGAGAGGAGTCACGCGCGGCCCTGGGGTCGTGCGCGCAGTGGCGCGGGCGGGGCCAGGGGCCGCGGGGCGGGCAGAGTCGGGGTCACGTGACGGCCGCTTCTTCGCACCTGCGGGCGAGCGGCGGGGTCCTGCGCGGCAAGGACCATGGCCCGGCCTCCCGGGGGCGCCGCTCCCCTCGGGGGTGAGTGACGGGGTGGGGTGGGATGCGGGGGGGGGAGGGGGGAACCCAGGGAAGCTGGGCTGGCCTTCAACTCCGCCCGAGTAGGGAGGGTAGTGTGCCCACTCCCCGCGCCCCCCGCCCCGGGCTGCCTTCCGTCCAAGTCACCCGTCCCAGCCGCCAGCGAGTTTTAAGGCTGGGTCGGAAGGGTGCGCGCGCCGCTTTCCCACCGTGAAGTCTTAGCAAGTGCGGCGGGACCGGCGGGTTGGGGCCGGTCCCCCCCATCCCCTCAACCACCACCAACAGAAGTAAACGCCCATCTCAGCGTTTGCCAGGGTTTGGGGCAGCGAAACGCAGAAGGGACCCCAGTCCGCTATGAATTCATGGGGCTGCTTTCTTGAGAAGCTGATTTTCTGGGACAGTAATAACGTGGGAGCAGAGAGATACTTGTAAGGGTGACCTTCTTCAAATAGCTACCCACTGAGCTACTGATGTTGACTTTCCAGTGTGCTTAGGAAGAGTGAGTTAGGCCCTAAGGGTCAGCTTTTCCAGAAGCTGTGTTTTTATAAGACTTTCACTTTTCAAAGGGAATTTAGTGGAAGGAGGCCGTGCTGGGGACCTCCTATGCTATGGTTTTGGGGGTTAAGACATTGTTAGATTAAAAGTGAGTCTGCCTTCCCGGAGATTAAGACACAAAATAAAAAGTGAACTATTGTGAACTCCTTTTAAACATCATGACATGCCTGTTAATTCATGCTGTGAAAACCTGCACTTTCCATGATGATATCATTACTCCACCACACAGTTTTAAGTTTCTCTTTTTAGATATGCATGTATATATTCATTTTTCTAGGTGGGACAGGATGTGAAACTGAATATGACCGTGTTGATTTTTCTTTCAGATTTTTATAGTGGAGACTGATTAGCTTGAAAGCTTGTGAAAGTGAATTCTTTTTTAAAAAAATATATTTTCTTTTGTTATTATAAAGGTGATGTACAGAGGGGTTACAGTTTCATAAGTCAGGTAATGAGTGCAGTAAATTAATTCTTAAAGTATACTTACTTGATAGTAAACGGGGAGTTTTTCATTGTGTTTGCATGATGTTACTTTTAAAGTGTTTCTGCTGAGCAAGTAGATAAAAAGTTGCTGTAAAAATCCTGGAGTTCCTAGACTTTAATTTTCTGGTGAAGTGCAACACCCTCCCCCTCCCCTTAATTTTAGAAAATACAACAGTGGAAAACTACATTTTGCTTTAGAAATAGCCATTCCTTTTTCCTATAAAGTGAGAAGGAAGGCTGATACTTTTTATTAAACAATGTACACAAAAAGATTTGGATGTGCATTGTCCTAGAAACTTTATTATTATTTTTTAAGAACCAACCTTTTGCTATGACAAATGGTGTATAAATAACATTGTTTGAGCTGTTGTTCCCCCCCCCCCTTTTTTTTGTTGAAGTCGGGATGTTGTTTTCATGGGCAGTTGGCAGGTTTTCAACTTTAGGCTTATCAAAGCATTTTGAAAACAAGCAGACTACTTGTTTCCTAATGAGCGGGAGCAGCTTCTACTCTATCAAATTTATTTTTTGTATCAAATTCTCTCTTAGTGAAAAATGTGTGTGGGCTGGGAAAGTGGCTCAGTGGTAGAGCACTTGCCTTGCATGCCTGAGGCCCTGGGTTCGATTCCTCAGCACCACATAAGCAAAAAGAAAAAAGCCGGAAGTGGCGCTGTGGCTCAAGTGGTAGAG